GTATATTAATAGCATTATGGGTTGATTTAAAAGACTATCAAAATAAATTGTACGTTGCCGTTGGCTGCCTTCGCCGGGGGTAGATCATTTGAAATGTAAGAAATAGTAATAGAATACGTTATTATTATTTGAAGTTTATGAAATTGGTTAAAAGGTTTGATACTAATTGTTCCCGACGTAGCTATATTCAAGTTGAACAATGAAACTTCATTGCTAATTATCTTGCTCAACTAACTCTTCACCATGATTGCCAAAAGGCGATAGCCACTTCACGACTAGAATGCAGACAAGAGTCATTATGATGTGGTAAAAGCAGACCCACGCCTGTTCGAAATTGAAGAAGATTTCAAACTCTCCTGTAAGAACTAAGCTTAACTCATTCCACTGCTTATCGATCCTTCGGAAGATTCATCGCCACGATTTTCATTATTTTGCTGTATACATAACAATGCAAGTTTAACACCTCCATTCCCAACCACTGGCTACCGAGAATCTGAGCAAATACCAACTAGTCGCAACAATCATAACATTCATAATACATTAATTGTTCTTGGATTAAGGCTTTTTGTTCAATATTGCGGATCTAAGAACATTCTATGGTCATCTGTTCCGAATCTTTTCCAAGTATAGTACTCTTTTTGTTCCATAATAAGTAACAGTTGCAAGACTAATTAATATTCATACACAAATAGCGCAGACTTTAATTTGACACTAATATAAATGGAGGATATGCAGTTCTGCAGATATTTCCAAAAAGTACAGCGTTTAATTTACGCAATTTTACTATTTTTGTGAATTTCTACTTAGATCCCGGTGCCTTGATGGGCGTTTTATTTTCAAGAGGACGCGTTCTACGTGTATAATCAAACAATAAATTATTGTGCCAATCTGGTTGCAAAGTGGTGAAATGCAAACGAATGCTCAGCAGATGCGCTCAAGCAGTCTTTTATCAACAAGTTGACTATTGCAAGAAACATATTTGTTATCCGAGTTGTTCGATTAGTGGAGAACCTTTGCGTTAAACAACTTCCTTTGTTTCAGGCATGAGCGTTTGTTTATTGTTCTCGGTAAATTGAAGCTAAAATAAATTAACTTCATACTATTTTTTTTATAAACCTATAAAATACATAACTAAACTAATAGTTACATACTGTACGTTCATCTAAGCCGTTGCTCTGATCGATGTATTTATTGTCTCTTTTTACACAGCGTAAAACGAAATGAAGATTGTAATTCCTGTTGTACATTTTTTTTGATAAGATTCGTATCTCACTATAAAATAACTAAATGTATTATCTAGCCAATTTTTTTTTAATTCTAACGCATCAACTTTATTATAAACAAAAAAAAAATAGAAAACACGACAGATATGAACACCACGCATCCACCACCCTTTTTCCTTTTTTTTTTTCTTTTCGGTTTTTTCCCCCTCCACTCACTGTGCATAAATTCCCCTCCAACTGCTTCCATCACTCTCAATTCTTTCCAACAATCCCTCCTTCTTCGTGATATACATTTCATTCATACGCTGTACAGGAACTGGTTCTAGTGGATCGACTACCTGCGAAGGAATCTGAGATTGAGCTGTGGGTAGGGGAGGTACTACGGGAGTAGATGGCGAATACACGTACGAAGGTGCGGGAGTAATACTTAATGGGTTATATGCAGGCGGCGGCGCTTGTGATGGGGGGCTTGATAAAATGTTTTAAGTTGATGGGAAGATAAAAAAAAAAGAGGGATAATAAGATGGTTGACAGGGTTAAGTGAAAAGTGAGACGCGAGTTGGTTAGACGTTGAAAAGAAAGTGACATTTGTTAGAGAAATATTTATCTGTAGTTGTGATAATCATTAAATCGATCATAATAACAAAACCAAAAATAATAACCGATCGAAAACCTAATATGGTTACACTACTAACTGCAGCGATGGCAGTGATAATAGCCATTACAGTCCTAATTATACAACCACCACAGCAGTTATAGTGGGTAACCACGCTAGCTTATGACGATAATAAATCAATATAATTATTACCGATACGCGCCCATGGAACTCTTGTCAGTTTGAGATCGACCCCACGACAACCGGACCCGCGAATTCCCTGTATATGGTAATATGATATGCCATCTTTAATTATCCATTCATCGTCACTTCATAGTTTTGTCTGATGCAAATACACCTACCAATCGGATAGTGCTGCATTTGATTGATAGCCATTTCTGCACTTTGCCTGTGAACAAACTGTACAAAGCCGCATCCCTTGCCCGGTGGGATCTTTACATAAGTAATCTCACCAAACCCAGCAAAGTAGCTGCGGGACAGACATGACATCACAAGTTAGTGTCAAAAATATCGTTAAACACGCAGCAGACATTTTTGGATAAAGGACTTTTGTAAAGGCTTCAACTAATACAATGATCTATTTTATCTCTGTTGTTACATTTTCCAATTATCTATATATTAATATATCAATCAATATCCATATACATATACCTTCGTAGCTCTTCTTCACTATTAACCCCAGACAAACCACCAACAAACACAGTAGTATTATTCGGATCATTATATTGACTAATGTTTGGGTTATTTTGTGGTGGCTGTTGATAATATCCTGTTGCAGTTGTCTGCATCGGATTGGTTGCACCCTTGTTCTTGGGTGTAGCCGTTGAAATACGCATTGGGCGATTTCCGCAATAGAGTCCTTGCATTTCGACTAGAGCACGCTGTTGCTCGGACTCGTCAGCGAATCGTACAAAGCCGTAACCTTAAGGAAGAAGCGCATTGAAGTTAGTGGAATGGATTGGAACGTGTATTACATATATATAGCCCACAACATCTTACCACGTGACATTCCTGTCATGGGATCAGTCATAATTTTTGCTGATTTACAACTGGAATATCGTTGCTGGAAGACAGACTAAAGGAAACAAAAATTAGCACATAAACATGAACTTAGTAGACGCAACACAATCCTATTACTTTGAATGTCTCATATTTGTTACATATATATATCGTGTATAATTCTGTTATTCATTTTGATATCTATATTACATACATACCACAAGCATCCATTCTGTCACTTCAGGCCCTAGATCGCCAACAAAGATCGAGTACTCTGGTCCACGATCGTCTCTACTCCAAGATTCGAATAAAAAAAATGGTACAACTAAATGAAATAACCCGATTGCAGCTACAAGTGTTCCACAGCCGATGAAATATTCTCCCTCATTACACCTTCTATAGTTTTCAAACATACTTCCTGTCACTCAATCCGCCACCAGATGCCCAATTCAACTTGAACATACGATTTGTACCAGGAATGGGCGTTCCATTGACAGTCGTGAGTGCTTTGACTGCAGCAGCATTGCTCACGAAATCCACAAAGCAGTAGCCCGCGTTAGCACTGTATTGCCCATAACCCCGTAAGAAATTTTATAAATATGGTTAGTATGTGTGACGTTAGCTGATATATAAATACAAGATGTGCGCCCGATGCGATCAAACCATACTGACTATATTAGAACACGAAAGATTTCAAAATGATTCGAGTCCGTTTTGTTCAGTTTAGTCGCATACACTGACTATTTCCTCAAGCTAACTCACCCCGTGAATTTGTCCCGAATAAATTTCACGTTCACTTGTTCCCCCATTTGGTACCAGAGACCTCGTATGTAGCCCTCATCCATCCATGGCTCAAGCTCACCCATCCTGTACACAAGGAAGAGAGTAAAAAACGGGAAAAGGGGGGGGAAGGATAGAAAACGAGGATTGAGAAGAGAAAAAGTAAAGTATTGCGGGAAAAGGATGTTAGAAAGTAATAGAGTATTTGAACATCGAGAGGCAGAAACGCATGGGGTTGATTATGAGAAAACATGCAAGTGATAGCGTTTCCTTCGTTTGAGTATACATCTTATTTGATAAATTGATCAACGTTCCAACTCACATCCCCCAATCGTAGTGTCAAAGTAATATCTTCGTGTCTCTCTCCTCGCGTCTTACTTCTCTAACGACATGTTATACGTGATATAATACCAACCAAACGATGCTACATTATGACCCAATCCGATACGTAAACTGTGTTTCCTTTTCCCTCCTCTCTATGTTTTTTCCACGTCTAGTCTTTCTTCCACTCACACTTCCAACCTGATCCCAAATAACGTACCATAACGTAGTCTTGTTATCCATAGCGCCCCCATACTGCTGCTGTTGTTGATGATATTGATCATACTGATACGACATATTTATTGACTACTTTTACACTAAACCAAAATATTCAACCCTGATCGGAGTATTTTCCTATTTATTTCTTATCCTATACAATACCACTCGATAGTACTTGGGAGACGTAAACTCCTTCGAGGCAATATATAAATGACGTGACGTTCGTTAGTCGTATAGACTATCACTGGACATTAAAAGACAAGGGCGTACTCGTGGACGGATAAACAGGAACAACTTAGAGGAGGGGAAGGGGGGGGGGGGGGAATATATAGGGCTTATCGTTTATTGGGTAGTATTTTTTTGACGGAAAAGAGGAAAAAACGGGGATTTATATTTTTGAAATAATCAGGTGATATTAGTGTTAGCGTGCGAATGATGCTGATTGGATAAATATGGTTTAGTTGACATTGAACTTTTGTAAACTTTGGTTTGGCCAACCCCCCTGAATTCTGTGGATACAGATTGAAATGATAAGGAGCTACATTTGTGTGGGGAAAAATATGGGGAAAAATATGGGGAAAACATTGAAAATGTGCGAAATAACAAAATTATGGCAATAACGACTTGGTATTTACAATTAGGGATTATCAGACAGTTTATTACACGTTAATAACTATGCACAATTAGGTCGCAGGTTTATTTGAAACCTTCTATGGCGACAATATAACAAGGTCAGTAGTGTATTGAAATTAAAATATGAATCATCACACACATTACACACATATGAGCATCAACACTTACGCATGCGATCGCTCTAACCTTCTTCCTCAAACGTCGCTATTCTAACCGGCAATTGCTTCCTTTGCTTTCTCACGCAAATCCATTATGTGCTTCTCGGCTTTGGTGATGTGATATTTCGAAAATGCAGAATAGCCTGTGCTAGTTGATTTGCATTCCTTTAAAGTTTTCCCAAAGGTTTGAATATCACGTGATTGAATACATTCTTACACATATCACTTCAATTATACCTACATCGCCAAAATGTCCTCTTACTCCACATGTATAACAAAAACTTCTCACGTTTTTGTCAAAGTCACAATCCACTTCATATTTATATTTTCTCCATACATCCTAATGAAATACAATTAACATAAGTACATGTTTTCGTATAAAGAAATCCAAGCCTAAAAGTCAAAATATAACTGAAATAGCAACTGACTTCAAGCTTATTGGCAGAGCGGACAGCACTTTGATTTATTTTACGATTACGAGAACAGTTGATTTTCAGATGACCAAGCTGCTTACAGAGGGGACAATGATTGAGCATGAAATATCTATTGGATTTCTATGGAAAATATTAGACGGAGATGATTAATACAACTGGCAAGCTTTCGCACAACGGTGTTTTCAAAAGATTCGTTACCTTCACCGGTGGCCCGTCAAACTCCTCGGACAGGTCGATCGCATCGGTGGATGTAGTAGTATTTGTTGCTGATATTAACTGTATTGCAAATGGTTCTTCTGCGTCTAATACCTCAATTTCTCCTTCATTTATTTCTTCACGTTCTTCTTGACGTTCTCCTTCTCCCTCATCATTATCCTCACCCTCGTCTGTATCTTCATCTCCTGGTATGTATATAGGGTTGTCACCATCTCCCGGTATGTATATGGGGTTGTCAATCCTATCACCCAGTCTCATACTCTTAAGATTCCCATCACCCATCCGAAATCCAATTCTATCTCTCATTCTCGCACTCATTCTTCGACCTATATCCGCATGCACCTCTCCATTTGAAACCCAATCATCATCATCGTCATCATCCCCTAATGTAATAATGTCCCTATCATCATTATTTTTATTTGGTAACTGCATTCTGACGTGAGCGTGATTAATGCCGTATTTTGACTCTTCAATCTCTGAAAAGTTGAGATTGGCACGTGGGGGAGACGATGGAGAGGATGAGGAAGAAGATGAAGTCTTGAGAAGATAATACGAGCTACGAGACGAAGCAGGTTGAATTTGGGATTGGGATCTTATTGAAGATTGGCTCGCCAAAGAAGTCCGTGAGGGAGTTTCAAAAGAACCATCAAAGGTAGTTTCTGCGCGAACTTTCGAAGGTGTATTGAAGAGTGATGAAGGAGAACTACTTTGTATAGTGCTCAAAGAGGACGTATCGGTCAAAGACAGTCTATTCAACGTTGATGTCGATGATGGAGTGTCTTCTATTACTCTTCCCCATTTATTGGTCTGCTGCTGCTGCTGATACGGTTGCTGTTGCTGTTGCGGTTGCGGTTGCGGTCGTTGTTGCTGTTGATTCTGTCTTCCATTCGATTGTCTTATTGATTGGGCATTGTTTGTTCTTTGCACTGGCGTAGATAGTTTTTGCCGTTTCGGTTGAGGGGTTGATATTGAAACTGGGCCACTTGTATAAAATACACAACTAAGGAGTTTTTCTGTTTCTTCGTCGCTCAGTCTACCTTCGCTTTGGTGAGTATGGTTGCGTTTTCGGAAAGAGCGTATAATTATTGAGTATGTTGCGGTAATAACCGTTATATTATTTGTAGTTGTATCTAACCGTTACCTATCGCTGATCTCGTGGTCGAGTGGATCTCGGTATATTTCGTTTTCATATCGAAGTGTCTCTTCGTACAATTCTTCGTCGCTATTCATTCGTTACTCTTTATTTCCGGGAAACTATTCCGTTCCCAAGTATACAAAATAATCCAATAATTAAGTTAAATCTAATGAAACCGAGTGCAATAGAACGTATGAGAATGTATGAGAATGTATGTTGTTGCCATTATTGTTTATGGTCATGAAAATGTTCGTGCATTGTTGCCGCAGTAGGAACAGATCAGTCGATCATAGTACACATGTGAATATGAAGTTATTATTATCTCCGAATTTTATTAATATTAATTCAGGCACTTGTTAGATAATGAAAGTTTTGGTTGACCCTTGCTTGAACACTCAATTGATATGACCGCTTGCCACTTTCAAAAAAAACATGTTCACTACCAGAAGGTATGATCAGGTACGAGAATATGCTTGTATCAATGTGTCGTCACCAGGCATAAAAATGTAACAGACCTTGTAACACACCATAATAATTTGTAGGCTGAATTTGTTGATGTTTACTTGCCTTACAAAGCAAAGCAATATTTATACAGGCATTCATAAATACTTCAACGATGACATTTTCGAAAGCTTGTTTAATCGAGTCGCGTACGACTCTCATCATATCGGAGAGCCCTTTCGTGAATAAAAAAAAAAACCAAGACACAGAAAACCTCTCAAGGCTGAATGTCGGACGATTACATATGTTTGCGCAAAATTTAGCCAATCAAAACGGCCAACTTAATCAGATTGCTATACTTGGTAAACCTGACAGTACATAATCGGCAGTGCAGTGCATTCTAATCAGTCTCTATTATTCATAGTTGTGTATTCTGTATAGACATGCTTTCGTTTTGTTCATATATACGTTGTTCAAAGTCACTCGAACTCTACGTATTGATTGCATGGTCCTCTGAACAGACTAGCTACCTACCTCCATTCACTGTTTCAAAAGATCGGGAATAAGATTATTTTGTGTTTGTTACACGGCCAATTAATTTAACTGTGATTGAAATTGTCGGGGCTGCCCAACTGACACATCCAAAAATCATCTTCCCCCCACCCCCCACAAGTTCATCAAGTTAGTCAAAGAAGGATCGCATATCTGCTGAAAAAGACTTTATAAGATTTGCCAAGATGCTTATCAAGGAATACCGAGTTGTTAACAACTGTACTTGTGACGAGTATCAGGTAAAAAGGAGATCGAAAATAGACCTAGGCTATAAGTAGAGTATTTGATTTGGAACTGGAATAGGAGTGTGCGTTCGCGGAGGAAAATCGTTCGTTACGGGAAATAAACCAAGAGCGCGCAATATAAAATGTTGACATTATGATTCCCATTCGCCCATGTTTTTTACACACTTTTCATAACCCGTTGATATAATCCTCAGGTTGCTCAATTGTACGCAGTAGCTGAGGCTTCTAAAGCCGAGACTGGAGGCGGAGAAGGCGTTGAAGTGATCAAGAATGAGCCATATTCAGATGAAAATGGCAAAGGACAATACACTTACAAGATCTATCATTTATCCAGGTGGGTTGTGAGATAATATCCGCGCTATATTTACATCATAATCATATTTACCAAATCATTTATATTAGCAAAGTGCCAGCTGTTATCAGAGTACTAGCACCCAGCGGCGCCCTTGAATTGTACGAAGAAGCCTGGAATGCATATCCCCACTGCAAGACAGGTAAGGAATAAGAATTATGATTCTGTTGTAGTAAATGCGTAAGTTTACTAAATAACTTGTAATATCTATTTCTAACTGATCAAGTTTTGACTGTAAGTAATCGGAAAGGCGAAATTATATTTGGACATGCGCCACGAACGATCTCGTTAATCCAACTAAACTTATCGCGCTCTCTATGTAGAATGGATATATGAAAGAAAATTTCAAACTAATCACCGAAACTTTGCACGTTGATGATAGCAGAGGAGAAATAGAAAATGTAATTATTATGACGAAAACTTATAGTCGTTTTTTGGTTAGTCAACTTGGCATTTGGCAAACATTAATGACTTCTTTTGAAACAGGCTCTTGGAAGCTCTCCAGAAGTTCTTGCTCAACGTGAAGTTGTGCTCATCGACATAGCGAATGACAAGATCGAACCAAAAGATTACAAGGAGGAAGATGATCCCCAACTCTACACTTCTCAACGCACTGGACGTGGGCCTCTAAAAGAAGACTGGATTGTAACGACGAATTTTCATTTTAATTGTGGTTGAGTCTGTGCTGACTAGTTAACTGTCGAGATTTGTATTATTGATTTGAAGTTGGATGTGTTGGATTGATTATTGTATAACTGTAGAAAACGGTCACACCCGTGATGACGTGTTACAAGTTGGTTACGGTGGAATTCAGATGGTTCGGACTCCAGAATAAGATCGAAGCTTTTATCCACAACGTAAGCGTAATCTAGTGATTTGTCAAGATTGCATGTTTCGATATTATGGGACTAACAGTTGGAATCTAATCACATAGGTAATGCAATCACTCTTTACTAAATTCCACAGACAGCTCTTTTGCTGGACTGATAGATGGTACGGAATGACCATGGATGATATCAGAGAATACGAAGAAAAGACGAAAAAGGATCTCGATGAGGTATGCAAGACCAAGAAACAGCATTACTAACAGTAGATATTTAATTAGTAAATGATAAAAATACTTGCTTTCCCTCCCCCTCCTTCATCTCTATTTGTATTGCGTCTTACATTCTCGACATTCTCAACATTTGATTTTACTTTCATCCACGCTCCCTACTAACTTGTAATCTCTTTTCCCAACAGTCACGCGCAAAACCACCACCGGCCACAACTACAACAACCCAAAAAGCCAAAAAAGCCCAAACTGAAACTCCTAACAAATGAGATATTTCTCTTCCATCAGATAACGTCTTGCTTCCTTGCTTAATAGAACAAGGCGCAAGTAATTTTCGGGCCCTTTCCCTTTTATTGCAGAAGAATATTAACTGCCATGGCTATACATGCGAGCGCAACATATGGACTCAGACGTTCTCCTGGAGAATAAATGTTAACGTAGAGACGTGGTGGGGATAGAAAATATGTAGGTTGGAAGGTTTGAATAAAAGGAGAATTAATTTATGTCTTTTGACAATGGAGAGAAGAGACGATGAACAAGAATGCAATCGATGAGAATTGTTGCATTTTCGAGTGAAACTCTTTTTTTTTTTTTTTTCAAAAGCAAAAATGGGAATCTTATAATAGCTAACCTATTCTCGCGGCTTTCCAGAATAAACCGAGTAAACTGAGAAAGGTGAAAAGTTGGAATGATATTAATCAAGGTTTGCATTGTCAATAATCATACCAACAACCCTGGCCAAATATTGTGCCTCTCAGTGCTTAATGCTACTGCTATTATTCTAAAACCTGACTGCCTGTCGACCCCCATTCCTTTTCCGAGTATTGCTGATTTGACTTGCTCACCCTGTCTTGTTACGCGCTAACAGCGTTGGAGCTTTAGAGTTGACATAGGTACACGTACAGATCACAAGCAATATCACTAATAGCAAGCTTTGAAAGTTGAATAGTGCAGACTATACAACAACAAGAAGCATAACCTGATTAATATATCGAACAGTATTAATATTGCTTGACGCATTGTCTTTAACATTCGACAGCCAGTATCTACTCACCATTACTACACACTTGCGTTGATAAAAGCCAGAGTTGGGTGAAAAACAATGAGAAAATATGCATTTAACCAGATTATCACGTGAAAGTGGCTAATCATTATCTTGAACGGTAGTAATGGACCTGTCCAGCTTTCGTGCTGTAAGACGGGGGAGAGCTGTTGGTTTTTCAGAGTCATCTTGTAATTCTATTGTCTTTATTTGTTTTTGCTCGAGTGCACCTCTAAATGTCTGTCTAAATAATTAATCACGCAATTCTGTGTACACTACTAAAATGCGCTGGTTAATATAGCATATTTAAGTTTTTACTTTGTATTCATAATTAGGATGGCAGTGGTTTTGTTTTTTGCTTTTTGCAATGACATAGTCTCAAGTTTAGTTTTCCGTGCCAAGACTTGTTAACTCGCGCTGTTTTAACCTCTCACCCACAACCATTGGTTATGCATTCACGTAATAACGCCACGTGTCCATGAAATTTTATTAAAATCTGTCATGTGGCATATTCATTAGGACTACAGCCGATTATAGTGTTGAAAAAAGTTCGTTTATTGTGCATCCTGAATATACACCGATACCTCTCTCGGTCGAACTATACAATGAACTGTATTTAATTATTGTTGAATCTTTCTTTTTATTCAAACACTCACTCGATACATTACATACAACAAAATGATCCGTTCTCAACACCATTCGACTACCACTGCCACCACACCGCCATCTCCTTCTCCACCTTCTCTTACCACTACCTCCTCTACCACATCCAAAGATCATGCTTCAAACACACAACAACTTTCTTGGGAATTTCTTCGAAAGCAAGCACGACAGCTGGAGAGCGAAATCGAGAATAAACTATCTGCATATGCAAAGTTGACTAGCGGTTATGGGAGAGAACGAGGCGGGGCTGGTGTGAGTGGAATAACAGGACTAAGTGCTGAAGCCATGGAAGCAGAGATTGATGAGTTGATAAAGAAGGTATATATAAACAGTGTGCATCCCAAAGTCGATTTGTTTTCAGTAAAATGATTTTTGAACGTCAAAGAGTTGACTCTGTGTTGTTGTTTTTTCAGTTGACGCTCGTTGTTAATTCGATGGCAGAGCTTTTGGATCGACCGTCATCAGCGCCAGCAAGTTCTTCGATGATGCATATGTTACAGCGACATAGAGACATTCTTTACGATTATTCTAAAGAATTCAAAAAGACAAAGGTATGTATGATAGGTGAATGCGTCCACGTGCGAGGATGGATATTAAACGTAAGGTATGATTTTTGTAGTCTAATATTCAAGCTGCTAGGGATCACGCCGATCTGTTGCGTTCTGTAAGAGACGAAATAAGGTGAGAATTAGCGCGGAATAATAATTGAGCGACATTCGTTATCATTATGGCAATGCGTCCATTCTCAATACGGTGCTTTCCTCCGAGGCCTATTTGATGATAATAATTCTTATTTTGTCACATCACAATTCTTTAGTTTACATAAATCAGGCACATCAAGTGAAACAGATTACTTTCTAAACGAACGAGCGAGGATTGAGAGTTCTCACCATATAACTGATATGGTGATTGAGTATGTAATCCATGAGAATTGCGCATGGAGGTGTTAGCATTAAGAGTAGCGACTTTTAATTATGGGGATTGCATGAAAATATTTTGGTAAAGACTGTGGATATAAAATATCCATCAATGCTAACGCATACCCATGTGATTATAGGCAAGCATATAGTACAAGGGAAGAAATCGGTAGACAACGTTCGATTTTGTTCAAAGCAAATAGACGCATGGCAGGAGTAGCAAGTATGTAATGTAAAAATGTTGGCATAAAATGACTCGCGCTGTATATATTAAATTTTACTTTATTTATAGATTTATTCCCCGGCCTTAATACTTTGATTAGAAGAATACACGTTCGCAAGCGACGCGATTCACTAATACTTGCATCAGTGATATCAATGTGTATCATTCTACTATTTCTGTATATTCGACATACTTAGTAAAAGCAATTCTACATCTAGAATGGAATAGACAAAGGTTCTCATCATTTATGAGGGCAGAGCAAGTAATGTTATTATTATGATCTTTGTATTTGACATTTACTTAATCATCCCATACGCTTAATTTTCCCATGGAACGATGTAACACATGCATAGCATCGATTAACACTTAACACGAGACATTGGTTCTAATTGTCTTCTCTTTAAGAGGACAATATCATTAGTAGATTCATTTGCGTAATCAATCGCGGCTCTACTGTAATTCTAAAAAATTTACCTTTGAACGGGCAATACTTGTTTTCAATTATTATTACTAATAATTGATAGTAGCATACTTTAAGAAAACAATCTTTTCTCATATCTAAAAAATAAAACAGAATTAGAATTTGAAATATAATAATACACTCAAGGTTCATACTTGAAAAACTTACGTATACAATCCGTGAGCGTTTCCTTCGACCTGCAGTCCTGAGCTCAACTCTAAGTTTCCCCTCTGCCACTGTCTCTCTCAATCGTACCAAATTGCTGACTCTCATATCTTGCAGACCGTGTTGCAATTCGGTGATAAGATACGGAATGATTATGGCACTTGAATATACTCGATTATTAAAGGCAGGCTTAAGGCGTTTCCTTATTTTATTCGCCATGTAAACTTGTATTATCAATTTTATACACGACGATATGAAATGACCATATTTGTACCTGATATTTAATATAAAATAGGGAATATGTTATTAGGCTAAAGCGGAGCAATTTCATCGGTTGCTTTACTCATCCTCTGTTTCCCCATTTTCAAATAAACTGCTGGCCAACATTTTTAGCATCTTCTGTGGCAGCGAAGACTGAGACTCGTCACGAATTGACAATGACAGCAAGAATGATGAATGGGCGGGCAAGAAGCGCCATTTCCTATTCGTACATGTAGTCATAGGATTAATTGGATCGTATTCCCTAACAAAGTGCATTTGAAAGTTTGAAATACTAACCCGAGAATATTTAATCATACTTTATTCTAACTAATGATCGAAAATAAATATATCATACTAATACTGTAATATTAAATCTCTCTACTAACATTGATATAGACAAAGACCGCACCAAGAACGCAACCTACTTTTGCGACTGTGGCATGTGACTTGCTTATCTGATTCATCTAGAATACATGTTTATTATTGGTGGATTGCATTTTTTATTGATTGGGTCGCTAAAGATACATAGTAATAGTAATAGACATTTGATTTTTATTATTATTATTGGTCGTAAATCATTATAATACTTAGCCTAAATAACCGCGATATAGCTCCAGTCATTTACCTCCATATAGGCGCAACCACAAAATATTGTGTACCAGTAATAGTAACACCCTTTTCTTAAACTTTAAATGCACGTGTTATAATAATAAGTACTTGTGTTTGCATAATTCGGCATCGGGTTTTTGGGCGCCGATCATTTATCAAACCCTTCATTCAAATTATGAGAAAAAAGTTAACGTTTACGCTAATAAAAACAAAACCGCGGAGCCATTTTTCTTGGTTGCTATGAAAATTCTCTCTCTGCGTTAAGGATTTGGAGAAATAATCTGCAAATAATTTGCACGTTTAAATTTCACGTCATTCGTTACTCTAGCTCGCACGCGTCTATCTTACTTTTTGCCCAGCGACGTATTCATCCTACCTTATGACTACCGTAATGTTTCAACGACCGTCTTTTATTTCATATGATGACATTTCGCCGTTTATTCCGCCAGTAGATCTTCATCCAGCGCTGTCAATCATGGACATTAAAGACTGGACCTATCCAAACTTTGTACAGCATATAATTATTTCAAATAGTCCAGTCGATAAATTCAGAGTCTTCAACTGTTTGGCTAAAGGTTATATGGAATCTAAAGAACGTGAAAATGTGGAAAAATAAAGAAAAGGCTAGACATAATTGAAGCCTCTAGTAGCAAATACTCAAGAAAAAACAAAACAAAACAACTTAGAACTAAAACACAAACCTTTTTTCGACATTTGGACTCATTATTTGAATATAAGGCGTTAATTGATGTCATAACTTGCGAAATGCATCATATTTAACAATTTCGATGTGCTATCGTTTTCAAGACCGGCAATAAAATCACGATAAACTGACTTATAACTCGTTTCGGCTGGCAGTAATGTAAGCGATTGAGTAATTCGATTGACATTTCTACCAGGACTTGGTAGTCCATGAATTTCTGCATAGTTTTCGAGAAAATTCTTTACAGCGGTAGCAACGGTTATATCAATGGTTATTTTGGTTTTCCATCGCGGCAATTTTTTTACATTACCATGAAGACGTGGTATTATACCGTTCGTTGCTAGATGGTTTCTGACATTTTCGAAGTGCGTACGGCCAATTCCTAACATATTAAGATACGTTTTCTGACAAAGTGGCGTAATACGATCTCAATAATAAAAGGCTCGCTTATTAGTACGTGTTTTCTTTTTAAGACGTCGACTAGCAGTTATTTCTCCACCATTCATTGCTTTTAATTGGGCCATTAAAAATACATCTTGTTCGGATCGAGAGAGAGCTTGAAACGGCTCACGTAATTCGGCAAATTTTTCTCTTGAAATCATTTTTGAGCAACCGCAATTGCAACCTCTCTCCAAGAAACGCATGGCTTTTTCATATTCGGTGGAATCGTTATAATTGTAACTTTCCATATACGGGTAATCCTATATATAAATTTTACGCATCAATGGTTTTGTTTATTTATACAATGCAATAACTCCTTTTTTTATCTGTCATCATGTATTCTAACAGTTGACTTAATAAGAAAGTTTTTTAAAAGTAAATTGACTGTGAATTAATAGTACTGCATGCAATTTGAGTGAAGTAATTTTACAAGTGGAGAGCGAAATGCATAAGAGGAAATTTACTCCGTAAGATTCAATTTTTCCATCATATCAGCAACGGCATCTATCTCTTGTTCCCTGACAACATTTGAGAGATCGATGAAGACAGCTTGCAGTTTGCCATTCTTCTTCTTCCGGTAAAGCCCAACATGTCGGCGAGAGAGATCGTTATGTTTAAGCCCTTTGCTGGACATTAGTTTAACAGCATCAACCACTGCAGCTTTGACTTGTGGGTCATTTTCCAGCTCATTATGCGTGCACATTCTAAAGTAGGGCATGACAAGGGCAGGTTGACCTTTTATGGTCTTGACTTGTGCATCAATTCCCCATAACGTCTTCCAGTGATTGGCCTCAGCTTGTAGGCGATTACGTGCTATCTGGTGCTCTGCTGCTTCTGCATTCTTTTTTTGAATTTGGGATGTAGTCAATTCTTGCTGATTACTCCAAGGTGAGATTGGCCTGACAGACTTAGCTAATTTAATCACACAGCCTGTTCCCGTTTCTGTCGTTGCTAACAAACTAAACCTTCAGCACCACTTCCAAGATAAGACAAACAGATAAAGTTCTTGGTATCATTTCGAGGAAGATTGCCAAACTTGATTACTTCTAGACTTGTAGGATATTTAATCAGTATAAGACTGCGATTTTCCCAAAATTGCAATCTGACAAGTGTTACACGAAATCGGTGCATCATGATTATGTCATTGCACAACTTTACATCGCATATAGTACATACCAATTGCATATTCACAAGACACTGGATCATGCGTTAACAAATATCGTCTACATATTTAAAAAAAAAACAACATTTGCAACCGATTATTCTTACGCACTGCAAAACTATTCGCCAACGGCGGGCAGGATACACCCTCACCTCTAGTTAAACATAAATACGATTGCTTATTTTGATTTGCTTATCAAACAAGTCATCATCTCCTAAAGTTTGGTCCGGCTGTCCTTCTAGTGATTTATTTTCGTGATCTGCTTTTATATTATCATTGTTTCTAACACGATAAAAGGTTGCTACTCATGAGTTGTAGTACTTGGAGCAAATTTATTGTCATTCTTACTGAAAGCCCTATAAAAAACCGTGGAATTATAAAGAAACAGATATTTGCTTTATGTTTCCAGCTTTCGTTTCTTTCTTGGTTCATCATGTGTTGGTGTTAATATTCGCTTATTGGTTTTTATTTTTCTTTCTTCTTGG